ATGCTGCGTGCTGTGCTGGAGGGGCTGGCGCGGAGCCTCTGCATCGCCCGCAGCAGAGGGTTCGTAGCCCCCAAACTCAGGTATTTAAAAAAAAAATCCAAGCCAACACACCAAACTTCAATCACCAAGCCCATTTCTTTTCAGATCATATTGTCTGGAGTACCTGGTGTGTTTCAGTGTATGCTCTGCGCAGGCAGAACGAATGATGTGACTTCCTCCAGATGCCCTGTTGATTTAGTGTTTAACTCGCATCAGGGGTAAGGTGCAGTAGCCTCTCGTTTTCCTTTCCAAAAGGAAAAGCTGACACGTACGGCCTGTCTCAGTGCTCCTGAAAACAAGTTCACCTCCAGCAACATCGTCAGAGCTCTACCTGTTCTACTAGTTCCTTTATGGAACTGCTGTCACTTTCGTTGGTCTCATTTGTTGCAGTGGAAAGTGGTTACGACATAAGTAGCCTTAGAAATTCTGAATGCTTTGGAATGGTTTATGAAAAACACCTTCAGCTGTTTGGAAGACTGCAGGAGAAAAGGTTGTTGAAGTTTCCTTGGTAACTTGTACTTCACTAAAAGGCACACTTTATCACTGTAAAACATCAGTAGTTGCTTTCCAAGTTCTCAAAAAATATTTTGGAACAGAATTTCACATGGCTGATTTTGTGTATGGTGACACCTTTAGTAGTGTTTTAAATCAAAACTAGTATATAAAAACTAATCAGAAAAAAACAGCAGTTAATGATGTTAGTAAATAAAACACATTTTTGTCTAATATCCCTCCTTTTTAATGTTCTCTTGATTGATAATTCATACAACCAGTTATTATCAGTGTGTGCAGTTCATAAGCTTTTGCTTTTTCATTTTTGTCTCCCTTTCTGTGCATAAGGACTGCAGTAATTATGGGTTTAGGTGGTAGCTTGAATACCACAGTGCTAAATATCTCAATAGTTCTTAAAAAATCTAGCTGTCATATACACAAAAAGCAGTAGTAAGTGCTGCTTTGGATCTTGAAAACATCTAGTAGGAAAGCAGAAAATAATAAGGCTTTAACGCAGATGTATAAACATGCCCTGTACAGCAAAAGATATATTCCATGGTCTCTTTCCTATAGTGATGAGGCATTATGGAAACTGTTACTGGAATGTTTTCTTCTGCCAAAATGTTATTTGAGCTGCAGACCAATAGAACAGCATTTATGTAAGAATGCCAAGTGGTTCTGACTATCCAAGGTTGTAACTCCTGTGTTGTTTTCTGTCTTATTTCAGTGAAAGAAGCTGGAAGAGACTTTACCTATTTTATTGTGGTGCTTGTTGGAATTGGTGTTACAGGTTATTTTTTTTAAATTACACTCTTTATCAGAAGACACTTTTCATTAATTCCATCTGTTTTGAAAAGTTTTTGTTCATTTACTGTTGTTTCTGTTACAGGTGGTTTGTTCTATGTGATTTTTAAAGAGCTATTCTCTCCTTCTAGTCCAAATAAGATCTATGGAGATACCTTGGAGAAATGCAGATCTCACCCTGAGGTTGGTTTTTAACCTTACTCGTAAGTTTATGTTTCTCAGTAGTTACTGTTTCTCTCTAGGTCAAAAGTTTGTGTAAAGAATCTCGCAAGCCAAGCTGTGTATGGGAAGACCCACTGGGTGCTTAGCAGGCAAACACCAGCAGATCTGCTAGTGCTTTTAGCTAGTTAGGACAAGTCAGTGCAAGCATTGAACCGGGGTGAATTCACCTGCTAGAAGGTAAGTGAGTGTGCAGCAGCACAACAGGTGCAAATGCAATGCCCTTCAGAGCATGTGCTCATGCCACCATACAGAAAGGCTGAGTGCCTGCTAAATGTAGTACTTCAGGAGTTCTGCAGGTTAGGGAGGCAACTGGTTCCACTTAAGTTCTGTAGAGTCACCCTGCTGCCTTTTCTCAGCACATTTATTCTGTTCTGACATTTCACTAGGGCTCTGTCACTCTGTGAAGCACTGATATCCAGGAATTTAAACTCTTCATTTGAAACATAGTTAGCATGCCTGTGGCTAACAGGAAAAGAGACAGAGAGCAGTTATGGCATCACACAGTCATGGCTAGATGTAAATAAAAATCAATCTAAAACTAGATTCTAAAAACCACTACTAAAGGCAAAACAAAAAAATGCATGGAATAGCTTTCAAATAAGGTTGCCACAGATACCACAGGATAGCCTAGAAATGAGGTGACAAGTTGTCAGTAGAATAAAAATGAAGACTGCTTTAGAACAGGCTTGTAGAATTAAAACTGTTCTCCAGTACTTGCAGAGTAGAACTTTCCCTCCCTTTCTAACCAACTGTAAAGTAAATTTAAAACTAGGTGAATTTTCTCTGGCTCTATAGGTCCATAAAAAAGATACAGAATTTCTTAAGCAGTAGTGTTTTTTAGATAATGTGGAGTGCATTCGCATTTCAGGCTGTGAAACATATTCTCTTGGAGGAGACGTGAGCAGATATTTCGTGCTCTTTTTCCTTTTAACACAAAATACCCATCTACATGTCATCTTCTCAGAGAAGGGTACAAATGGCAGAGATTAGTAGGATTTGGTTTAGACCTTTAATATGTGACTGTAAAGAAAAGGACTGAAATACAGAGGATTTTTCCTTACACTGTTTTCTTCAGAAACTTTTTGTGACACATTAGACTCACAAGGAGCATTTTGTTAAAAGAAAATGCATTCACAGCAGGGGCATGAGGTGATACTGGAATATCTGTTTGTATGTGATACCTTCTGACTCTTTTCTCTTGTAGATAATTGGTGTTTTTGGTGACTCTATTAAAGGTTATGGGGAGACAACAAGAAGAGGAAGACGACAGCTTGTCAGGTACCCTTCGTGTTTGCCCCATACAGACATTAGTATTTTGCACAGCAAAGATACTTTGGGTCACATCACAGCAAGTTAGATCTAGACTGATGAACTGTTTGTGATGTACCCTGTTACTTTTCAGTGTACACAGAAGTTTTTTGCAGTACCTCTCGTGTGGCGTGTGCCACTAAGTGCAGTGCACATACAGTATAAAATGCCGATTCCAAGTGTCTCAGAACAGGCAGTGGCTGCCATGGTAAGCATTGAGCTGGTCTCTTCAAAAAGTAGGATGAGTCTGAAGAGAGTACAGCAAAGGCCAGGGCATGCACGTGGGAAGCAGGAATCTGACTGAAGTTTACACTCTCAAACTATTCTGAGCTGATAGGCAGAATTGGCTGCCCATTTCATATATTGCTTTTTGGTACTCGAGGCCACATCCCTACTGTGTATTTAACAGAACATCTCTCACCTAAATCTTTCATGAGTGTGTCTGTTTATTACTCTCCTTTTGAGTGAAACAACAGAACTAATTCTTACAAAATGTAAATCCTCCTTGCTTTGCCTTTATTGGGTTCTTCGACTGGAATATATTCAATGAGGTTTCATACAGGATGAGACACGTAAGCCCAGACACACAACTTGAACCATGAAATTGAGATTTATTTGTTTTCTGGAGGAAAGTGACTTTAACTGGTTGAAGCTTTATCTCTTCACCAGACTCTGAAAAAGTGTTTAAAGTGGAGCTGCTAAATGAAAGGATATGCACAAGCATTTTTAGCACCTGTCTGCAAAACAAACTGTGTAGATAAGTAAAGGTACTATCCATCAGCTTTCCTAGTATTTCACTTCCATCATTTTGAAAGCCTAGTATTTTAAATAAATTTTTGAACTGAAGACTGTGTAAGGTTGTAGAGTTTGTGTCTGCAGTATAAGGATGACCTTAAATGTCCCAAAAATATACAGGGTTTTTTGTATATGAACACCTTGGAAGTGAATTTACTGCAGTAAGGGTCTTCATTCATCTTTGTTTTCTCTAACCCATCATGTCATCTGAAACTGCATTGGAAGTTTAATTCACAGTGTGTACCTGGGCATGACTGATGGAAACAAGAGCGTGGTAGTATGCAGCAGTAATTCCAGTAGGAGTCATAAACTGGCATCAGAACTGTAGTTTGACCATTAGTTTCTGAAAGTGGCCACCTTGCAAGTGACGTGACCTTTCTATTTGGCTAATACCCAACTTCAGTCTAAATACAGTGTTTAGGTTGGAGATCTGATATCAGGGCAAAGTTACGCAACTTCAGTAGAACAAGATTATTGCCAAAGTAACTAAAGCACATAGTAAGCTGTTTGTTTTCATGTGATTTAACCAACTTGATAATTAAGTTGACTAAACATTCTTTGTGTGTTTTGGCTTGGTAACTTAGTTAAAGTGCCTAAAAGGATCCCTGGCAGTCTTGGTGATGTGGGCATCCCTTGCTAGATGCTGGGTGCTGAATCTGGGGATTCTTTAGAACAAATATAAGGAAATACCAGAGTCTTCAGCTGCTGGTTTGCTGTTGAGTCTTGAGGGGAGAACTGGGGTGAGGACATTTAAACATGTCATCTCTTAATGCTCAACAGCTAATTAGTTCTAACTCTGGTAGTTCTTAGGCACTCAGAGTAAAGCTTGAGAAGAGCAGTAGAGAAGGAACCCCGGGTAGCATAAGGACTGCATCAGAATACACTTTTTTCCAAAATAAGTAAGAGCTTCCCTAAATAACAAGTTGAAATTTGAAGTCTTAGCTAGCATGTCATATGTATCCTTGCTAAGGGGTTGGGTTTTTGTTTTGTTTTGCTGGTTTTAGGCACATTGAATTCATAAGGGATGGAGTGAAACACATGCGTTTGAAGTTCTATATTGAGGGCACTGAATCAGGGAAACAGGGAACAGTCCATGTGGAAGTCAAAGAGGTATGTACAGTTGCTTGATAAAGCTGACCAGTTAATCTTGAATTTAAACTACCAAGCAGGAAAAAACAGCCCAAAATTGTTTTCTTTACAGAATCGTGAAGCAAGAAGATTTGAGGTCTGCTACATATTTGTGGATGTTGACACCTATCCGAGAAGAACCATTGTCATAGAAGACAACAGATAGCTAATGATTGGAGTTGCTGACTTATCTCATTGAGTGTTGGATAACACTGGCGTAGCCAGTCTACATGTGAATTGTTTGGTGTTCGTGATTGTGTCTCACTACTTTGGGGTTGTGTTACAGGAAGAAGCCTCTCAGGGTCTCCATTAAGGACTTTTGATAATAACTGATACAGGATTTAAAGTGAAGCAGTTACTTCTGACATAGGAAAGTAATGGCTCATAATAAACAGTTTAATACTTCTGCACTCCCCAAAAACAGGTCTTCCAAGTTTTTAAGTTTGGGTGGGGAGTTTTGTGTCTTCCTTTGCTTGGATTTCCTACTACCACTGCAATAAAGAAAGTGGTATTTTAACTGTAGACAAACTCTACTGTTTTCATTCTGGTTGCCTTTGTCCTGCACTTTGGCCATAGCAATCCCATGCAGCACTCCAGGCTGGGGACAGAGTGGCTGGAGAGCAGCCAGGCAGAAAGGGACCTGGGAGTTTGGATAGACAGAAAGCTGAACATGAGCCAGCAGTGTGCTCAGGTGGCCAAGAAGGCCAATGGCATCCTGGCCTGGATCAGGAACAGTGTGGTCAGCAGGACCAGGGAGGTGATTCTGCCTCTGGACTCGGCGCTGGTGAGGCCACACCTTGAATCCTGTGTGCAGTTCTGGGCCCCTCAGTTCAGGAAGGATATTGAGGTGCTGGAGAGGGTCCAGAGAAGAGCAACAAGGCTGGTGAAGGGACTCAAGCACAAGTCCTATGAGGACATGCTGAGGGAGCTGGGGTTGTTTAGCCTGGAGAAGAGGAGGCTCAGGGGAGACCTTACCGCCCTCTACAATTACCTGAAACGAGGTTGTAGGCAGGTGGAGATTGGTCTCTTCTCCCAGGCAACTAGCAGTAGGACAAGAGGGCACAGACAAGAGGGCTCTGCCAGGGGAGGTTTAGGTTGGATATTAGGAAGAGATTTTTTATGGAGAAGGTAATCAGGCATTGGAATGGGCTGCCTGGGGAGGTGGTGGATTCACTGTTCCTGGAGGTTTTCAAGATGAGACTGGATGTGGCACTTAGTGCCATGGTCTAGTAACCACAGTAGGGTTGGACTCAATCTTTGAGGTCTTTTCCAACCCGGTTGATTCTGTGATGCTATAATTCTATTATAAGAAGGTAAAATAAAAATGTTAGTGATGCAAAAGAGATCTAGCCCAAAGGCATGTAAGGATAGGAATGTTGGAGGCACACATCCATGACAAGCAACTGGAGATAAAGACTTCAATATTGGTGTCTTCTAAATAAATTAACAGCACACAGATCAGCAGCAGCATCTGCTCCTTCTAGTGTTTGCAGCAAGGTGGGGGTCAGCCTCTTCTCTCAAGGAAGTGGCAAACTGACAAGAGGAAATGGCCTCAAGCTGTGCCAGGGAAGGTTTGGGTTGGACATCAGGAAGGATTTCTTCACTGCAAGGATGGTCAGGCATTGGAACAGACTGCCCAGGGGGGTGATGGAGTCACTATCCCTGGAAGCATTCAACAAACAACTGCACGTGGCACTTAGTGCTATAGTCTTGTTGATGTGGTGGTGGTTTGGTCAAAGATTTGGCTTGTTCTTGGAGGTCTTTTCCAGCCTTAATTATTCTGTGATTCTATGCATATACCAAGTCAGTCAGTCTTCCTTCTGGTGGAAAGGGGTGCAGAGCCCTCCCAGGGTGCCTTCAGTTGTCCTCTTTGCTGAAGTTCTATTTCATACCCTGCCATGGTCAGGTCTAAAAGTTATTCATAGATGAGTGGAGTTGTAATACTTGCAGCCCTGTATCTGACAGTCTCCTTTCCTCTTGGCCACCATCCTCAAAATCATCATCCCTATAGGGAAAAAAGAGAAAGACCTCAGTATCTGTAATTCTGAGATTCACGTACTTATAATGGGTGACATTGGCTGTGCCCCTGGATGAGTTGTGTAACACAGGTGGCCTTTGTTACCATGCAGTGCGAATTACTCTCGTGTTGGCAAAGGGCCAGATTTATGGAGGGGATTTTGATCTCTAGAAATGTTCTTCTGTAATTTCAGGAAAACATTTAGTATTTCCTTTAAAGCTGCCCTTTCTGTAGGATAACTAAAGTGTCCAGGAAGTGTGTACTTCATCATACTTTGTTTTCAAGCCCTGATGCCACAATGTTAGCCAAATGCAACAGTAAGAGAGATGGACATACATGTACAAAATGTTCACAAAGCCAGGTGGCAATTAAGATCTTTACTGGTGTCTCTAAGAAAACTATCAAGCCTTAAATACTGGTACCTTAAAGTGTTTTGAAAAACACAACATTCCATTTAAACTTCTCTCTTTCCCATCTTGACCATGTCTAGAAGTAGTATTTATCAGGGTGTGTCCCTCATTCATAAAGTCCTCATTATTTTCTTTTACTGCCTGCTAATTAAGCAGATATACAAGGATGCTTCTCTTCGTATTTCATGAATGGGGGACTCAACTCTAAAGGGCATCACTTCTCCAGCTTTGTGAAAAAGCTGACAAAATTAAGACAAAAAGTAGGAGAAGAAATCCACCTTTACCTGGGCTTAGCTATATTAGCATTCTTAATATGAACAAATGGCAAATAGAAAGCTCAAATGCTTTCCAGTCTCAGTGGAGGAAAGCTTCTTGTAATCCTTTTTCTAGGAAAATCTCTTCAGTGAAGAAAAAAAAATTCACTTCATAGCTTGATTACCCTCCTCATCCTAGCTAGATATCTATCACCAGCAAGATTATTTAATCCCCATGAGATTTAAAGAGTATTAAAGTTTAATATGTATGTAGTTTTAGCTGCAGAAAAATAAGTTAAACAGCTTTTGCTGAAGGAAGTCTTATGGGAACAAGTTAGTTCTTTCCATATTCCTTCTGAGCCTGAAGCTCTGTTGGTCCCTATGGACCAGGCTGCCATCCATACTTAAAAAATTATTTTCTTAAATCTTGTTTCATGCACATTTTCCAGACTTCAGTTTCGATTGTTGAAGAATTAGTAAAAAAAGCATATGCTCAAAAGTCCATTCTCCTTTAGGAAATGAAAATATGTCACTCACCAGTAAAATGATGATTTTCCAGAAAGATTGTGTGGCAGACTACTCAGTGTATTTAAGGTAAATGTGCAACTTGGTCTTAACTTTCCTGTCTCTGCCTTCATTTTTGTGGTTGCCAAAACTTGTGCATATAGCATAGGCAGCCAACATCCTTAGAGCTGCTTGTGGGAATAATAATGTTACTGTGTCACCTACATGACCTTTCTTTGAGTCCAGGTCCTGTGTATACTTGCTGTATAGTGACAAAAAGAAATACCCTTCAGGAAATTAATGAAAACTTCAACATACCAAAAAATGACTACTCTTTTACTAAGCTTCGGTAAACAGTATCTTGCCAAGAAAATGGAATTTTAGACTGGGAAGGAAAAATGGTGTTATACATGACTGACTGAGTTTAAAAATTACTTTTATACCTAAATATTTAGCATGGAATTCAAGTTACAGCAGCTGATTTAGGCAATAGAGTCATGATTTTGGGAATGGTTGCAAATAAATGCACGTCTGATACAAGAAACTTTGAACAAACTCACTTAACAAGCAGAGAAGACAGGAATGTGAGTAAGACAATTACTGTGTCACATGCCAACTGCAGAAATAAAAAGAAGATGTGCTGGGGGTTTTCAGAAGTAATTTAAGTTCACTTTGCTCTCATCTCACTCTCACAAGGGATGCCATCCATCTTAATACTCATGGGATTATTTCACTATGTAGTTTTTCAGCAACCTAAGCTGTTACAGATTGCAACCTAAAAACATTGGGGGACATATTTTGAGTCAAAGGCCACTTTTAGGATTCATTATGGCATGTAAGTTGATGGAAATATGTAAGGAAAGCACAGACATCAGGGAAAAAAATTACAAGGATTAATTTTCAAGGGGCAAGCTTTGAGATGACAGTAAGGGCTCATAACTGGCCTCTGCATCTGTCTGCTTGAAGATCTAGAATACAGTTGGCATTGGAAAAACAGAAATTTGACACCAAAAACATCTTCCCCCTCTTAGAGGCTTAGTCCCTAGAGAGATGTTCACTTGCTCAAAGTAGAGAATAATAGAACTCCAGTACAAATTCTCCTTAGGCTGCTGGGAATGTGTATCATTATGGTGTACACTGATTCCAAACTATGCTGTAAATAATTGAACAGCAGAAGTATTTGATAGTTTTTCTTAGTAAGTTCTCAGGTTTCTTTATTCTGTATGTGTTATGTAAAATAATCTATAGGAATTATAAAAAAATGTGAAACAATATCACACTGTATTCAAATTTAGTATATTTATATTTTCTTAATAATGATATATGGTTGAAAATGTAGCAAAAATATTATGCAATTGAAAGAAAACAAAAGGGAAAAAAAGCTCTTTTGGAAGCCTTATGGTTGTCCTCAGGGGAATGCATATGATTCCCTTCATCTCATGCAGGTTATTGTGGAATATTTGTAACTCAACAAATGAAAAAAAAAAATAAAGCACGAGTACTGTTTCAGTAAAACAGTTCAGTGCGGGAAACCTCTGTTTGCCTCTCAGTGTTCAGCATCAGACTACTGTATTTCATTTTAATACCCATGTAAAAAAATAGAATCAGTTATGCAAAAACACTGTAAGCTTATAATTATCTACATAAAGTAGTACACAGTACATCTGAAAGAAAGTATCAGGGATTTCAAACCAATGGAATATGTCTCTTTTAGTTGTCATATATAGCAAGTATGAATATTTGTCTGTCTACACAAAAGTTTGCTGTATATACTTTGATACTGGCTTTTGCCTGAGGTGGTGGTGTGGGGAGAGCACACGCAGCCCTGTCCCTCTGGGGGGGGTGGGATGCTTTCACCTGCTCCAGCTCAGAGCCATCCTGTGGCAGGTTAGCCTTGGCCAGCACCCAAACTCCCAGCCAGC